CTTCATTACACATTTAAGCCGTCTCCAGCCATTATTTCCGTAACTTAGTTCCGACGAAACTTTAGCGACACAAGTCCTTACTTAATAAAACTGGTTTATTCTTTCTGAATATAACTTCACCAAATCTACCACAGTATGATCAGGATATTCAATATATGGACAAAGTTTTTTTCATTCAGCAAAACGGTGCATCTTCATTTCTCTATTGCAAGTTAGGGTGATAATGTATGATGACACCATACTTTTACAATGTCATTATCCAACGTGTTATAATCTACAGTTCATCAACCGTTTCAATAATTGAACAGTTACCTTTCTACCAAACAATGAGTGTCAAAAAGCTATTACAAAAACCATTACTGCAAGCACCTATTTCTTTGTTGAACTGTACCTATGTTTAGGAGTCATTAGCATACGACAACTGGACATGCTTCTCATATCCTGTATACATCAAGTGTTACAAGCTGGAGATTGTACATGTCTAGTAAATTACAGCGTACAACTGACAATTTTTGGTATGGTTACATAAGTATTAGCATATACCTTCATTTTACAGCCATAAATATAATACTAAGTATTGATATATGTTGGTTCATATTTATACATCTTAGTTTCTTTGTGATTGATGTAAAGATAGGCTATTATCTTTGAACTATCTTAAATAGTTTACATCAAAATAACTGCATAACGCAGTCCCAGACATTTCCAGCACTCATTTTTTCCTGGTGGAGTGGAAGATAATAAAATCTACTGAAATGTGGTATTTTAAGGTGAGTGATTTCCGTGCAAGTATCAGATAGCTCCATATTGTAACGTGAGGATCAAGCATGAAGATTGTGAAGTAAATCTGAATTTAGCTAAGCAATGGAGTTATGAGCTAAGAAATAAATAGCCTTGACACGTGATGGTAAAATAAAACACAATCCTTATTACAGTGTAAAACAAAAACGAAACACAACGTGTGTACTTGTCAATTAGTCCACAGTTGTAGTCCCTCGAGAGCTACATTTGTTGAACTATTCACGTTAATAATCAAGCAAAGAATAACTGAAACCAAAAGTACAAAAGCTGATAACCTCAGATTTAGTCAGAAGCACTGTGTCTTACTATAGGACTGGCCATTCTTGTACAAAAGCTGCAACATCTAGATATTATACATTCAGCCAATGAACATTGCTGTCAACGACCTCTTAATTTTTTGTCACAAAGTGCAACAACGTAGTCACTGACAAAGTAGACACAATCTCTTTGAGAACAACAAAGACACAAAAGTAACTAGAACGAAACAATTTCAACAGTTTTCTGGAACACGTTTATTTCAAAACTGAACAGAAACAGAGTCAACGAAAAGTTTCCAAAATTTCTGTATTAATACAAGCAGGTAGGTAGAAAGCATACTTACATCACAGAGGAAGAGTTATTTGAGGTTAATAGATATAAGAAGATTTATAAAATTTTTTTAGTGCAGAATATCAAATGTAATGTGGAAGTTTTTTGTTTTTTTTACAGGATACATTTTTCTGTAGAAGATGCTAATGGAATATAATTATGGAGGATTGTTTGTTTGTTTGTTTTTGAATTTCGCGCAAAGCTACACGGGGACGGTACTACTGTCGCCGTACGACCGGCCCCGAACCCTTTTAATTTACGACGTAGGTTAAGGTAACGTAACGTAAGGGGAAAGGGGGGAAC